TGCCGTTGCCGTGAATTGAACTCCAATTTCCCCGCGGTCCAATTCGCAGCTTACTAAGTACAGTAACTAGACTATTCTGCAGAACAAAGTAAAATTGAATTAGCAAGGGTGAAACTTTTAAGACCCATCAGACGTTGTATAAAATTAAGTACAATATCAAAACGTATGGAAGTTATATAATATATTTAAGGAGAATCAGAAGAGTATGCAGTGTAGCACGCATGGGAGATAAAATAAATGCATGCAGAATTTGATACAAAGTCCAGATAGAAAAAAGGTCACTGGAAGATCAGGAGGTAGAAGGAGATATTGAAATTGATGTGAAAGGAATACGATGGAAGAATGAACTTGAGTCATCTGGGTCGGGGTAGGAGCCAGTGACTGGCTCTTGTAAACACCGTAATTAACCCTCGAATTTCATAAAAGGCGGATAATTTCTTGAGGAGGTTAGCAACTGTTATCTTCTCAAGAAAGATTCGGTTCCAAGGAGTTAGGTAGTTAATAAATATTTAATTGTTCTGCAAGTGAAAGAATGAGCGATATAAAGAAGAGAACCGTTGTCCCATACGAAAGGGATTAAACGGTGACAAAAGAATTCTCTTGAAGAAACGACAAATAATCGAAGAAGCAGAGATTAAATCAAGCGAGACAAGATTCGTGTCTCACGTAGGGAGATGCTTACAAAATTTTGATTGGGAGACTACTAAGGAAATCTTCGCGGGTTAAAAGGTAATATTAAAATGTATCTTAAAGGAACGGGATGTCTGAGCGTGGACTGGATTCAAATTAGATTCAGTTTGATATCTGTAATTAAATTGCGGCTTCCAAAAAATTCTGAGAATTGATTTTACCAGTTGAGCTGAATTTGTGTTCCATTTGACCGGGCTGAACTAGAGTTATTCCTCCAATTTATCTTAACACTCTTATTTGTTTTCTTTCGAATGATGGTAATTTCATAGTAACTGATATTTCTGGGATTTTGGAGTGTCCCATTTAGCAAACGCACGTCAGAAACAGGGCAGACTGCTAATAGAACAGCTTATAGGGAGTTTTGTAAACCGCACGGTACTCGAAGATTGAATACCGGGGCATAAAAAGGAATATGGCAGTAGGAACGGGTGGGACCTGCAGATGACGGCCCATTCCGTTCAGAGGGCTCACACAGACCTTCCCCGAATGTTACCCCTTCCATTTCTCAGTGTGCTCGTGTATGTAGTTGAAAATAAATCAAAAAATGAATTAATAGTATAAAAACAAAGGGGGAAAAGGACGTGTTCTGGCTTGAAGTTCAGGATCTTTGTCATTCTGACGCCGAACCACGACGTGCCGTCTCTGTATGACGTCATTTTGCTACAGAAATTGCATGCAAGAATGCGCTATATCCTCCGTTATGCAGCCCGGCACATAACGTGTTCTAAATAATTCTGTCTTCTGGAATATAAGGCAGAATAGTTCCTTGAAAGTCAGGCGACGCTTCGGAGGAACATGCCGCTTGCATCTTCAGGGCCGAAGAATAAGCCATGCCAAGAAACCACCGTGAAAGCAAGTGACAAACTCTGGTTTCTTCTGCGCCGTCTGTGCGTGTGGGTTGGTGAGTGGTAAGGTTAAAGAGGTAAAGTTGTCATGTTGCTTAACTAATTAAGCACTACGCCATGAAGGCGTATGGGGGAGTGGATGTATAGACCCACATTTTCTTGACCTCTGCACTAGTTGGAGGTGAGCGATCAGCTTCACGCCCCGGCCGCTTTATCCCGGAGGAAAAAGCCCCCGGTACCCATTGTATAGGAGGTTGGGTGGACCCCGGAGCCGGTCTGAACGACATAGAGAAGTGAAAATTCTTGCCTCACCAGGACTCAAACTCCGACTCCTCCGACCTCCAGCCCGTAGCCTTTCGCTATACCGACTGAACTCCGGGGTGGGTGGTGGGTTACGGTGGATTAGATTAGGTTAGTGAGTGAATAACGCCAGGTAATATCTAAAACGTAAATATATTGTACATTGTAAAGGACCTATCCTTCAGTCAGAGAGGGCGCCCCACATCAACAAACCGCAATGGTCAGAGAGTAATCAAAATGTGGCCGTAAGCCCCAAATGGGAGCTTTAATCGAAGACAGACTGGCCGACTGACCGTGGGTCATAACATAACTCTATACAACAATAGTCTGGTCGGAATTGAAGGATGGAACTTCGAGACGTCACCCTGACGGAATGTGGGCTTGGAATTTAATTGAGTTGCCAGTTGCAGAAAAATTGCAAGAAGGGAATTAGCGGTGCACAGAAAACTTCATGTCTGATTTTAAGTTACAGTGAGACAGATATAAATCCGTTGCCAGGATACGACCAGTGAAGACCGACAACTCTAGTGCACGTGTAACGGTGAAGGAGAAAGTGTGTAGAACAGCGATAGCGCTGTATTGCCTGTAATCCTGAGTTGTGTGAATGTATAAGGTGTCAATAAATCCAATCATCCTAAACAATAAGTCACCGCTACACGTGACAGTATGTACTCAACTGTGAAGAGCATTTTTCTTTTTTCATTTTTCCATCCGAATTAACCTTAATCGCATTTGCGACGGTTTACTGTATATGAAATATTAGATCGAAGGTCGCGAGTGTGTGAGTATCAAGCCTACTTCTCATTCGGAAGGTCCCGCTTTCAGATCCCGTCACGAGGCCGCCTATTATGAATTTTAGAATTTTAGTGGTTTCTCTCATTCCTTTGCTTTCGGGCGAATCTGGGAGAGTACGGAAGATCAGGAGAGGACTGCTGGCTTCCTTCCACATCCTTTCGGGTTCATCCGAACAAGCGACTGTATATTCCCTGTGTTACTGACAGTCGCTAAGTGAAATATAGTTAGGGCTTAAGTAAATATGAAGTACTGGGGAATGATTGTAACCGCGTAATGATGTTCAGGGCATGTAGCACGTATGGGGAGAAGAGGAATGCTTATAGGATATTGTTGGGAAAGTCAGAAAGAGACCACTAGGAAGACCAAGACGTAGGTGGGTGGATAATATTAAGATAGACTGGATTGATATGTCTCAGGATATGGACCAGTGGAAGGCTCTTTTGAACATGGTAATGAAATTAATCTTCAGGTTCCATAAAATATCGGGAAGTTCTTGTGTAGCTGCACAACTGGCGGCTTCTTACAAAGGGTTCAATTCCATGAAGTTAGTTTGGATGATTTTAATGAACTGGAAAGGATCTGGAAGGAAGCATTTGTGATCTGTTTTAAAGTACTGTCGGAGAATATGTCTGGGGAAACCACGAAAATCCTCAGTCAGGATGACCGCTTTCCTGGTCTGAATTGGAACCCGGGACCTCCCTGATACGAAGAACAAGCTGGATGGGGCCCCATCCAGCTTCTAAACCAAATGGGGCTGGGTGGTTGTTATCCGGGGATAAAGCGGCCGGGGCGTGAAGTTTAACTCTCCTCCAACTAGTGCCGAGGTCAAGAAAACATCCACTCCCCCCGTACACCTTCATGGCGCAGTGTTTAATTAGTTAAACACAGGTAGAACTTTCCCTCTTACACATAGTTATATTTCAGAAGACAGGAATCTCGACATATTGTTGAGCTAATGCCACTTGTGACACTCTAGCGCTGAGCTCTTATATCGCCCCCGCACGCGTATGTGAACCGCGCGACAGCAACGCTCTCTCTGAAGACCCGCAGTGGCGCCACCTACATCTCCCACAAGGTGTTTCGGTCACAGTACGTGACATCTCTGCCTTCAGCATGGTCCTGCGTCACTCAGCCCAGGCACTTCACAGATGTCTCTGCACAATGCACAGGTGTAAACATCCGATACTAAGTGACCCAAAACCCAGGGCAGTGAGTGGGTCGCCAGTTAGGCCACCCGCCTTGCCATTAGTTCGCAGCTTGTTACAGGCGTGATCGGTATAGCACATACTCGTACAGGAGAGAAGACAGAAGAAACGGCAAGGAAAACAGAGGCAAAGGTAGGAACTAATAGAAAGGAAATGTCACGGAAGAAAAAGAACCCATAGATCAGATGGTATGAATGAAAGAAGGTAAGGTAAAGTTGTCCCTTTGCTTAACTAATTAAGCACTACACCATGAAGGCGTGTGGGGGAGTGGATATATAGATCCACATTTTCTTGATCTTGGCACTAGTTGGAGATGAATGGTCAGATTCACGCCCCTGCCGCTTTACCCCCGGGTAAATAGCCCCCGGTATCCACTGGATAGGAGGTTGGGTGGGCCCCAGCGCTTGTCTGGACGACGTGGAGAAGTCAAAATTCTTGACCCCACCGGGACTCGAACTCCAACCCCTCGATCGTCCAGCCTGTAGCCAGTCCCTATACCGACTGAGCTATCCCGGCTTTTTGAATGAGAGAAGGTAAGAAGACAAAACGGAAGGGAGGGGTGGATGAATGCAAGAGGGAAGAAAGGAAGGAAAAGAGAAACAGAGGAAGGAAACATATAGGAAGGCACACACGGACGGAAGACCTCAAGAAGGAAAAGCTTATGAATCTATACACGATAATGGTGTATCGCGGGTGGAAAGCAGTTTCAGCACTGCCATCTGCCGGCCTCGAGAGTTCCAAGGCTTTCAGAAATATGGACTTAATTAAGTACCACGCCGTGAAGACGTGTGGGGGTAACAGGCCGTGGAGGCCCATAGGGTTGTCAGACGTCGAGGCTCCAACATTTTCTAAACAGTCGACTCACGGGTGGCGGTGTGGTCAGCCTTACGCACCTGCCGCCCTTTACCCCCAGGAAGAACCCTGGTACTCATTTATGTTAGAGGTTGAGTCGACCCCAGGGCCATAGTGCGTCTGGAAGAATTAGGTCAATTGAAAAATCCAATGACCTCATCGGGAATCAAACCCGCGATTTTCCGACTTGTAGCAGCTACGCAACTGCTTGCCTCCGACGTATGTGGGAGTGGAAGTATAGCTCTATCGTACTTACCCTCTGCCCGAATGATGTCGATGGTCATGATGATATTGGTGATGATCTGTTTCGCAGGAAGCGCCGCTTGCTGATGCTCCGCGTTCTCGGAATGCGCCTCCTCACGCGGCTGTTGTTGCTGGTCTGTTCCCTCAGCCTGGTATCCCTGCTTTTCCTCAGCCGCTGTGGTCTCAACGTCGAAACGGAGGTGCAGCTGGACCCCGGCACCGGTAAGTACACAGTCAACAAGAAACCAAGTGCGCAAAGCGACACATATATCATACACGCGCATAGTTGATGGTCGCCAAGGTCTGGATACTTATCACGTGATCAACGCATCAAATGGTACTATAGCAGCTACAGGACGACGTAACGAGTCCTCCCATTGGTTAGTCTACTTTCGTCTTCCCAGTCTGCAATTTCGTGGGTTCCGTTAGACAGGCATAGTATAGTTTTTTATGCTGTTGCTGTAGATCCAAGGCGGTGTTGTTTGTTGTGTGGTGAGAAATACATCCGTCAGTTTGAATTTGTACACAAAAAAAAAACTTCGTGGCTTGTAGTCCGTAAGCGAACTATACCGACCGAGCGACCGCCGCTTGTCGGCGAAGTTACTGCCAACTTCAGCGGATAGAGGGTGTCGCGTGGTCAGCGCAACGAATTCCCACGGCCGTTAATTTCGGTTTTATAGACCTGAGCCGCTGTTTCATTGAAATAGCTCCTCAGTTTTCCTCACGAGGCTGAGTGGACCCCGTTCCAGACCCACTACTTCTCAGAAAATCTTGTAGCGCCGGGAATCGAACCCGGATCTCTGGATTTGTAGCCAGGAACTCTGACCACTAAACTACAGAGGCGGCCAATTTGAATTTGGGTACAGAATACGAATAGCAATACTGAGTATATGAGAACCACATCGCCTGAAGAATTGGATAGAGCCAACAACTATGCAGTCATACACACTTCGGAGATACTGCAGGTTGGGTTCCACATCACCGCAACGAAGCTAGTCGCACGATTTTTCTCTGTTGCTGTTTCCAATTATCGTGAAAACATGCTTTTTGCGAAGTCGTTACTCACTAATGGATGTTGTATAGCTGCTTCTTTGCTTGTCGTTGCCTAGCAACGGGTCTGCATGCCACAATATGTTAAATGTGGACTGTGTAACAACCTAATTTTGTGTAAGGGTTAAGCTGCCTTTACATAACGGCGAAATTTCGTGGTCCTGGAGACGGTGACATGGTATGTGACGCCGTGAAGTCTGGCACAAAGTTACCAACCTTTCGGAGACATTTACTTCCTCACTTTTCATATTCTTAACTCGAACATCGAGAGTGCACTTTCTTTCGAAACGTCGATAAAACTCTACCAGACTTCGAGAGCGCTACATAGCGGTGGACTGTAATCCCTACAGAATCATTGGGTGAACTTCCTGTGACGTCAAGCCTTCACCCTACCTCCTCTTGGTTTTTGAAGTGTGTTAGTAACACCAGCCATCGGACAATGTAACACTCTTAAGGAGTGAAGGACGACTTGTAGTTTGAGGTTCGATATCTCGAGATCGAGCGATCGATGTCTTGCAGCTGGGTATTGTAAGGTGGTACTCGAGTTCCTTCCCGCCACTCCCAGGGGCTTCCACTCGAGACTGCGGCGGGGTTATTTGACATAATAGCGTAGTAGTTCCAGGGCATGGAATTCCACAGCGTAATTTGCTGCTGCACCGTTGTGAAATGCAGAAATCAATTTCAGAACGAGTACTGAAGTAGATTTTGTTCTGAAATTAAATTTATGTACTATTTTCCATATATGTAAATAGAGGCAGGCATTTGTACATCTCTCTTCCTCCCCTTGAGAAATTCAAGTAATTTTTAAATGTTCCCTTCAGGAGGAATGGGTTTACACTGCACACTAAAAGATCGCGGACCCATAGAAAATGACTAACATCTCAATTGAACAAAGTTACGTTTTGAGAAGCTGATAGCCGCTCAGCTAGTCAAGAATATACCGCCTTTTGTGGTACACGTCCATTTCCGTGTTCGCAAAAGTCCATCACTTTTTTTTTTCTGTCCGGAACCAACTAAATGTAATCCAAAACCTTACACCTTATTTCTCTAAGATATATTCTGATGTTGTAAAGGGCCGCACCATAGCTGAAACGGTTAGTCGCTGGCTTCCCACCGCGGCGGCCCGGTTTCGAGCCCGGGTCTGGTCATGAAGGATTTGTGATGGACAAAAGAGGCGCTGGGGCAGGTTTTCTGCGAGAACTTCCCCTGCCAATCTTCATTCCACCAAATTTTCCATCATAATAATCACCCGGGGCAGGTACAATAGGCCAAACAGTGGCCGACGTGCCGAGTGGACCCAACTGGACGCCACCCCCCACTAAGCGAAATACCAATTTTAATATTGTCACGAGTAAGGTGTGTGCGTGACTGATAGTAATGGATAGGAACCAGTTGAGGGCCCTTGTGAACACGGTAATGAACCTTCGGGTTCCATAAAATGCTGGGAAATTCTTGAGTAGCTGCAGAATTTGCGGCTCCTCCAGAAGGGCTCAACTCCATGAGTAAGTATGTAAGTACAGGGAAAGAATATATGAAACAAAGAAAGGAAGGAAACAAGAAAGGATAAGGATAATAGGAAGAAGTTGAAATAAAGAAATTCGGCTAAAATTGCTAATCGATTTCAAGAAAATTGAAAAGAAATGTGAGAAATTATGACTCCGATAAATATGAACAGTAATAGAAACTATTCAAGGAAATATAATAATACGGTGAAAAGGGAAAAATGAAAACCCAAAGAATCGTTTTACTGGAAAACGTGGAGTCGAGTGCATCAGATTGCAGCTGGTCCTGCCATTTCTGAACAGCCTTTACAAACACCGACATTGGGAAGAGACAAACATAATAACCAGAGGGCATCAGTTGCTAGTTATGTAGTATCCGTGGCTGTATCTCATATATCCTCCAGATTCAAAACCACGGTTAACAGGTTGTGAAACGTTCTATTGGATATTACGACCCGTCCCGTTGGTCCGCTTCAATAGCAAGTGGTTCTCAAAATGAGCTATGAGCTCCGTTTGAATATGCAGGAAAATGTACGTATTTCCCCCACCCTACCCTATATATTTGCTTAGTTGTCCTGTATGTCATATGGGGTAGTGGCTGGATTGGTATGGTAGCAGAGCCGCATATGTATTCACAGGAATAGTAATTTATAGCTTTTAATAGAATGTGATTTGTGTGGGTTATAATGAATAATCCCTGTGTATGGGTTGGAGAAGTTGGCGTGTGGCGGTGGCGGTTTCTGTATTTGTGTCGGGATGGGGGGAGCAAGAGAATTTCGTAGCAAACTGATTTGGGTCAGAGGTTATAGTCCTGGGCTCGAGTCCAATGTAATTCTGTTTCTACTGTTGCAAGCTACAACTGGTCTCTTGTACGGATTACGCTGCCATGCCAGTGAGAAGCAGAAATGGCTCTGATATATCATTCATGGGATTCGCTTCCCTGAAACCGTACGGAGAAACGCACGAATTGTTATGAATCATTCACAAGAGAATATAACATGTGAATCATCCAGTCTCTAGCCGTAAGTCCTCGGATAAGGTGCAGTAAGATAAAGTTGCCCCTGTGTTTAACGAATACTCGTAAAGCACCACGCTGTGAAGACGTATGGGGGAGTGGATGCGTAGATCCACGTATTCTTGACCTTGGCACTAGTTGGAAGTGGGCGGTCAGCTTCACGCTCCGGACGCTTTGCCCCCAAGGAAATATCCTTCTGACATGAAGAGGAGAGGTATCCTATTCCTACCGGGATTCGAACTTCGACCCCTCGGCCGTCCATCCCATAGTCCCTATACCAACTACGCTAAGCTCCTGAGGTACAACACTGAGAAGGAAACAGAAGTTGGAAGACCATTTCTGGTGGGCTGCATATCTGTTCCAAACCCGTGACCAGGTTAGGAATATGTGGAGCTATACCTGCACTCCCCACTATGTCTTCATGGAAAGACGCATATTAACCGTACAAATGTCAGCTCGAACTCCTGTGTGTGAAGGCTCCCAGTGTCGTGAGACAGTAAAATATGCTCATGAGGCTCGGGGCCTGCAGCAATTTGGCAGTCACTGAGTGAGTACAACGGTGCAGCAAACGTAGCGCCTACATAGAAAGACCAACCCCCTTCCCCTCGTCTGAGAGGAGGCCCCATTTCGAAACACATACATGTCTAGGAGAAAACAAAAATTCTTGGTCATGGATCTCGACGAGACCTGGCACCAAGAATGACTGTGCTGGTGAGGACCAGCAGCAACTTAACCGACTGGCAGGTCGATCCATGGTGCCGAACCATTCCAGGTTGCCAGATCTGATCTTTCATTGGTAAATAATATGTATAAATGCTCCCTGAGAAATTCAGGTGTCGAGAGAATTCGCTCCCAAATGTTTGATGAGTCTGTATTAGAGAACATTGTTCGGGGAAACCCATGGAGGTTTACGTCCATCTCAGTAAGCATCAAAACGATGTTTTGTACGTACAACTACAGACATAAAATAGAAAATGCTCCTGTTTTTCGGAGATTACTGAATTCGACAAAGCATGTAAGGTTAGAGCCACGAAAATACGGATTATCTCTATATTGTTATACATTGATTACCAATTCTGCACTTTACAGAACAAAACAATTGCACCACTAACTAGAATTCTGAAACAGTTGAATACATTTAAATCCACTCAGCAAGTTTTAAATACATTTTAATCCGGGTCAGTTTGTTTTCAACGATTGATAAAAACTACTTGTTTGCCAAACCACATATACACGTATGTTCGATATAACGATTATGTACTGAGGGTGGATGGGGGAAATCTGTTCGTTTGAGTTGTAGAAAACTTTTCTATTTACTCGTATAAGTGAAATGGAACATAGAGCCAGAAATGTGTGAGGAATGTTGCCTCCAATAGCTCACGTACGTAACCGATAAATTTCTGTCGCTCAAGACCGCCTGGATCCAGTGCAGATTTCTCGCTTATCTTTGACCGCCTCTGTGGTCTAGTGGTCAGAGTTCCTGTCTACAGATCAAGAGATCCCGGGTTCGATTCCCGTCGCTACCAGATTTTCTGAGAAGAGTTGGGTCTGCAATGGCGTCCACTCAGCCTCGTGAGGATAATTGAGGAGCTGTTTCAAGGAAATAGCGGCTCCGGTCTAGGAAACCGAAATTAAAGGCCGTGGGGATCCATTGC